TGGACAAGGAGCGGGAGCGGCGCCGCAGCCGCTCCCGGGAACGCCGGCGCCGCACCCGCAGCCGCGAGAAGGATGAGCGCAAGCGGAGCCGAGAGCGCAGCAAAGACAAGGACCGGGAGCGCAAGCGCCGCAGCCGTAGCCGAGACCGCAAGCGGGACCGGGACCGGGACCGTGACAAGAAGGACGAGATGCTGGAGCCCGCCGACATTCCACCTGAGGAGGTGCCCCTGGGCGAGCTGGGCATGGATGGCCTGGAGATGAAGCTGGAGGGGGAGGAGAAGGGCAGGGACAGAGACAGGGATCGGGAGCGCGACCGTCGGCGCAGCCACCGTGACAAGGACAGGGAGAGGGATAGCCACCGTGACCGAGACCGCCGGCGGGACCGTGACCGCGACCGTGACCGCGAGCATAAGCGGGACCGGGAGCGTGGGGAGCGCGGTGCTGAGAAACGGGATGACCGGGCAGCCCAGGACAACGGCGTGCCCGAGCCCCTGGAGGAGAGCAGCCAGGACATGTTCCTGGACCAGGAGTCCATGCAGTCTGGCGATGGCTATGTCTCCACGGAAAATGGCTACCTCCTTGAGCCCCCTATGGAGTGAGTACCCCCCACCCCTAGCTGGACCGATTTTTGTTTTGTTTTTGTTTTTGTTTTTGTTTTTTAATTTTTTTTGGGGTGGGGGGTGCAGCGGGGGATGAGCTGGGGCCTGGCTCCCCTTCCTGGCTGCCGGCTGCATCTCTTGCTCTCTCTTCTTCCCTCTCTTTTTTATCCTTAATTTTTTTTTTTTTTTAGGTGGGTAAGTTTGTCCCCCCTCCCCCACGTTCTGTAGCGTGTTCCCCTCTCCACCCGTCCCCTCCCTTGCCTCAGTGTAATACACCCTTGGGTGCCTGCACCTGCTTTTTCTTTAACCACAATAAAGGTGTTTTAATGTTTCCCCTGTACCACATTGCTGCCCAAGAGGGGTTGGGGGCAGTTTCACCACACAAAACATAGGGATTTGGGGTAGGAAGTGATGACTCTGTTGCTTAGCAATCACTAGACCCATTAACAGTCCCACTCCACCACCAACCACCCCCACTTTGTTGACTAGGCTGAGGCCATTAGGCCTCATCTACCCAACTATCACACCCCATCATGCTCATGAATTTCACCTCCAGCCCCCTTTTTGCCACTGAAACTCACTTCACTTCCCCCCCCCATTTGCTTAACCAAGGAGTGCAGATCAGGCTGGGGGTCGCTTTGTGGAATCTCCCCTTAGCCACTTCTGGGATCCCTTCATGTGCAATAGAGAACCCCAGGCCATGCCCCCCAATTTGATGCAAGAGCCGTTGTAGAACAGGGGCGTCAAATGTATTTGCTGGCATCTGCATCCTGAGTGGGGCCTGCTGCCAACATCAGGCATGGAGCACCATGGCAGCGTATTAGAGGGGTGGGGGGGAGGGCAAGCAACATCTGTGTTAACCTCTGCATCTGGATCTGACCCGCAAGCACCACCCACAGGTGAAGAACCCATGACCTGCGATGCTCCCCCAGCAGCTGCATGCCCGAGATGCTCCCTTGTGCCAGGGGCACAGCACACCCCATCTGTTCAGTCCCAGTGTCAGGCCCTGTGGTCCCCACTGCATTCCTCTTCTGCGAGGTTTGTCCTGTTGCTTCCCTGCTGTGGCAGATGCTGCCCTTATGAGTACGCTGATCCTCTCCAGTGCCTGGCGCGGACAACAGCTACTGGCTGTGGGAGGCCTGCAGACATGAGGGCTCCTTCCTCTCCCATCCCCATGCACCCATACCCCTGGCCAGTGCCTCTGGCACAGACAGAGGCTGCACCAGTGCCCTGATCTCCAGTCCTGCTGCACAGACACAGCCAGTACCGTACCTAGACTCCTGGGGGCCCCAGGCTAACTTTTAGTATTGGGCCCGGCTTTTGCCAGAGATAATGATGATGATGTTGTTGTTGTTATTATTATTAATAATAATAATAATAATACCACCACCATTTTTGGGCCCACTTTCTCCCTTGGCCCCAGGCAACAGCTTGGTTTGCTGATACCCATGTCTGGCCTTGGACACAGCACTTGGGTACCTCTACCCCTGAAACCAGGGTGCAAATCATTCAGTGCCCTCTGCCCCATGTACAGGTGGTGGGCTGGGGGGCTGGTGGATTGTCCCTGGCTGGCATGGTGGGGAGGGGGATATATGAGGGGGTTGAGTATTTTCCTGCTTCTGGGCAAAGATGGGAAACAGCCTGGGCATGGGGGGGGGGGGGGGGGGTGGGGTGGGGGGCCAACATCCTTATGCCACCTGCCCACCCTTAATATTTTGTGTTGTCCCATGCCGTTCCTCCCCCTCCCCCCCCCCAATCCCTTTAAGACCAGGGTGGACAATTATTTTGGGGGGAGGGCTGCTTGCTTAGTTTTGGCAAGTCATCAAGGGCCGTATGACAGGCAGCCAGAGGCAGATAATTATTGATTTTCTAAGTTTTTAGGGGCCTTGCGAACTGGTTAGAACGGCCTGGGGGGCTGCATTTGGCCCACGGGCTGTATTTTGCCCACCCCAGCCTTAAAAGCTGGATCCCCAACAGTCTGGAGTGGGGGTACAGAGAGGGCACAGCCAGATCTACTGGGGTGGGGGCCAAATGGGTACCAGGCAGAGGAGACATTGCTAGTCTTTCTCCACAGGGATGTGTGGGGAGGCATAAGGTTTGCACATGTGTGCATGTACATGCACACCTGCCAGTAGACTTCCTCGCCATGCACACTTCAGCACATGGCTTCCCCATAGGACAGGCCTGCACCCACCCCATGACCAAGCAGGTATGAGCATGGTGCCCATGTGCAAGAGGGGCCCCTGGGTAAAGACCCTGGCTAGCATGCAAGCAGGTGTGCACATGCAAAAGGAGGGTGCGTGTGTAAACAGGTGTGTGTATGCACAGGGGCATGCAGACAGGCTTTGCAGGCCTGCTAGTGTGCGTGTGTGTACATGCATGTGCGAGCGCGCAGGGCCCCGTTCGCACGGGGGAGCGTGACGCCCAGACTCGCAGGGGGCGTGGCCGGGTAGGCCACTAGCCTCAGCGCCCGGGCCAGGCGTGCGCATGCGCACTGGGTGCGGCGCCGCGGCTGGACATGCGCACAAAGGCCCATCATTTGGCCGCGCGTCCCCGCGCTAGCCCACGTGCGAGCCGGCGGCCCCCGCCCCCTCTTTCCCCCCGCAGGGCCGGTGCATCGCGGGGCGGGGCCGGCGCACGAAGATGGCCTCGCTGAGCAGCGAACCGCTGGGGCTGGAGCGGGGTAGGGGATATGGGGTGTGCTGAGCGGGACACATGTGCAAGGGGTGGCATAGGGGTGTAAGGGGGCGTACACGGGGGCCGTGCTGGCAAAGAAGAACATACGTGGAAGGAGGGGGCAGTGTGCAAGGAGTGATGTATGGGGTGTACGGGGGCATGCGTGCAAGGAGTGGTGCATGAGGGTGCCCAGGGGCTCGTGTGCAAGGGGTAGTGCATGGGGTTGCTTGGGGGGCTCGTGTGTAAGGGGTGTATAGGGGCACAAAGGGGATGCATAGAGGGGGCTGCAGGATGAGCTCCTGCAGGAGAGGGAGGCCCCTCTCCCACCAGGGAGGTGCGGGGGCTCCTGGCTAAGGAGGGGGTGCAGGGTCCACAGGAAGTGCTGGGGTTTATAGGGGGAGCTGAGCTGAGCCCCTCAGGGAGGGTGGCATGGGGTGCCTACCCCCAGAAAGGCGGCAGGCAGGTGTGTAAGTGTTGGGGGGGGGGGGTAGGCTGAGCTCCCCTGCCTAGAAGGGGGTGAGGGTGCAGTTGGTCTTGGGGGAGGAACCTGAGCAGGGCAGCCGTGGCAGGAGGCTACTGAAGCCTGTGGGGGTGCATGTGCAGAGGGGAGTCGCTTGTGAGTTTGGGGTGGGAGAACATGTGCAGGGAGCTGGGCTGAACCCCAGGGTTTGGGGGAAGAGATGGGAAAGCCTGGGGAGGGGC